ACATTCCCTGCCTCATATTCTTTCTCACACACTCTCACATCCACAGCCTCCAGTGACGAAATTCAGAATATTCACGGCAGACTGTTCAACATGCAGACTGAGTAGTGGACAGCAAGCACCAGGGGAGTCGAATGCACTAGTCTGCCTGGTCTTTTTTTTTTTTTTGGGGGGGGGACAATTGCTCCAGTCTGCCTGGTCACACAACTATTGTAGTTATCAGGCTTTCACGGCGATATCAGGCTGGCCCTGGTTGTCGAACTCAGCCAGGTTCGATCCGCATACCTGCCCAATCGCTTGGTATCCATAACTGTCGCCTTGCTGACAAGGGATGGTGATTGATTGATCTGCCCCCATAAGAGTAACACACCTTCCTGGAGGGTGATGATGGTAAAAAACTTTCTGCAGATCCATGTTCGCCACAAGAGTGAGGCAATCGAAATTTGACAGCAACGAGATTTTTGGCGGACAGCCATTTTTCTTTTTCCTTTTTTTTCCTCGTGAGATAAACTCCTGGATAATTCTTATTCAAAAAAAAAAAAAAAAAAAAAACATCTGGATAACGGTGTCTACATCCAGAAAACGGCTACCAAGAGCATCGCTGCACCCCACTCGTCAAATTTGGAAAATGAGAATGAATCTTGCCCTAGAACACGGAAAGATGCGCCCCCGTAAGTTTTGTCTTTTGTCCGTGTGATGAGTAGTGGAGCGCCGCACAACGAAGTCAAGGTGCTTCTTCTGCCGGTCTGTCATCAGGAATGACACACTGCAGCTCTCAGCTTTGCAACGGGAATAAAAAAGTGCCAAGTGGCACGGCCTCACTCCACGAGACAACACTCTATCCAAAAAAAAAAAAAAGAAAAAAAAAAAAAGAAAACACTATATCTCGAGATGCTTACGCGGAGTGAGGAGGCCCTGCCACTTGGCACGTTTTCCCCTGTGGAGCGAAACACAAATGTCAAGGTGCTTACGTGTTGTGGTACCGCCAAACCAAAAAAAAACACAGACAGAAAATTTGGGTACAATTTGAAACGAAAGCAAAGAGCATGAAGAACGGGGGGGGGGGGGTTGTTGTCACACAGGTGGGTTAACTGAGGGGGGTTATTTTCGGCGAATTTTTCACCAAAACTGTCATATCGTGCTGATTTTTTTTCCATTTAAATTCTTCCTTGTTTTTTTCCCTTTTGTGTGATATGTATGTGCTTCTTTAGGGTGCGTCATGTGTCCACTTTTCTTTTTTTCTTTTTTTTTCTTTTTTTTTTAATGTGTCCAGTTTTTAGATGTTTGGATCAAGAAACATGAAAAAGACGACACTTCGTTGAATTCGTTGGACGCTTCATTTTCCTAACTCGGAAAGTGCTTGTGTGTTAGGGTTTTAGTGTTTCATAGTGTTTTTTTTCATCGTTTTCTTAAATTTTTGTGCCCTGTTTTTTTTTTTTTTTTTTTTTTTTAATGTTCGCACAATGGGCCCATATCGTTTGTTTTTTTGAGTTTTTCCTGAATTTTGCCCCACGATTGACCCCCTTGGGCGAATTTTTGGCGAATTTTCGGCCCTCAGTTAACCATCTCTCCGGTTGTGGTGGCCTGAGCGCGGTTAGTTATTTACTGCCCTGTTCTGTCCGAGATTCTTTCACATCTGTTACTTTGTCAGCATTTTTTTTTATTTTTTTTTATTTTTTTGGCACATCTCTCCCTTGATGCATAAGAAAGATTCTCTTTCAGATGTCAGAAAATACGCAATTCTTGTCTTTTTATTACAATTTGGTTTTGCTATTTCTGGGTTTAACCATAAAAGCAAGCCACTCCATCCAGCGGCCTACCGTCTTCACCCGAATAGAACGCCCGTTCATTATAGCTGTATTTGGTGCAACTTTCAGTCCAGATACGGGGATAATTACCGCGCGTTCTATTCGGGTGAAGACGGTAACTCAGTTGATTAGAGGCCCGCACGTGGCATTCAGGAGGTTGTGCTTTCGAGCCCCGTAACCGCCTGCGGCGCACTTAGTGCCAACCAACTGTGATAGGCCCCCTGATACCTCTGATCGGTATTAGGAGGGTCTATTAAGACTCCTGATCGGTATTAGTAGGGTCTATTATGATAGCCCCCGTGACACCCCTGATCGGTATTATTAGGGTCTATTATGATAGGCCCCCTGATACCCTGATCGATATTATGACCCCTGATCGGTATTATTAGTGTCTATTATGATAGGCCCCCTGATACCCCTGATCGGTATTAGTAGGGTCTATTATGACCAACACGGACCCAACTAATACCCAACACGGGGTGTGAGTGTGAGCGTGAGTGGGTTGTGTATGGTGTGTGGGAGAGTGTTGGCCATAGCCACTGCTGCTACTCGATGGGGGGTGAGGGACGATGAGAAAGGGAGGTGCAGCTACTGGCAAAATGCTCGGTCTTCGCGTTAGCCGGCCCGCCCTACCCTACCCCTGATTAGGGCGGGGGCAACATGCATCCCCTTAATTGTGAGACGTAGCTATTATGCTTGCAGGGGTCCCCCCTAGGACTAGTGGTAGGTAGATAGTGAAAGGTGAAACTGAAGAATATAGCTTAGTTATAAATATAAGAAAAAATAAAAAACAACTCCC